ATAATTATAATATCATATTATTAAAATAATTATAATATTATTATAATATCATGTTATATGATAAAATAATAATATTAGAGTTATTAATATGATTATGATATTATTTGTTACAATATTATATTATATTATATTATATTATGAGTCTGAATATTATATTGGGAAGATTGTAAATTTTAAATTTCATTAGGGGTATTATGAAAGTTCATTAATTGTACTGTGTTGATTATCGTACAATCTAAAAGCTAAAGTTGTCTTTAGACGTCTTCTGATTTTGGCTGTAGATTCTTGAAAAATTCTTTAAAAAGCACTTTTGAGGAGATTTACTAAACACTAAAATCAACTTCAAGCATAAGTTGATTTTGGAAGGAAAAGGCAATACCAAACTAAGCCTATATGTAATAAGAAAGTGTTTTCGGAAGCAATAAAGAAACATACTTCAATAGGTTCACGCAGGACTCGTGTTCTTGTGGTTCCTAAAAAAAAACGCGCGCAAAAAGGAGAAAGAAAAAAAAGAGGCCCCACATCTCACGTTAAATCTAATTTCATCTTCATAAACCTTAAATTTTTCTCCATTAAATTCTTTGAAACTTTCATTGGAGATTTCAATTGAAACAAAAACAGTTGAAAACATGTCTCTTGAAAAGCCAACAAATATTAAAATATGTATTTCTAATAGTTAGAAACTTCTTATGATATAAGTTTATGATATTTGCTCTATGTTTTATTTGTTTCTAATGATGATGTAGGATGCTAACGTTGGAAATAGCTCTGCAATGGATTATACTTGTATTCAACACGGAAATAGTAATTATATTAAGATTGAATTCATTATTCACGTATTATATTATTTTTATTTATTTTTGTTAATATATTTTATTTTATAACTCAAATCAATATTAAAATTAGGTAACCTATTTAAAAATTATATCTATAAAAAAGATAAATTTTTTAAAATCTTTATTAAATGAATATTAATTAGTGAGAAAATCTATAATTTTTTGGGTGCAAATATAACTACTGGCATGAAATAATTTCCTTTTTGTGTGGTTCATTATCCTTGGGCCATGAGCCCATTGTGATTGGCCCATCTATTTATCCAGGCCCAGGATATCACTGGGTCCACTATAATTTGGGCCTTCATCTGTGAACCCGACCCGCTAAGACCCAGGATATCATTTTGCAACCACGTTCGATCGGTCCCAAATTTCCCATTCATCCATCTTTCAGAAATTCACTCACAGAGAACAAACAGAGAGATAGAAATGGCGGTGATGGAGAAGTTGAAGATTTTCATCGTCCAAGAGCCTGTGGTGGCTGCTTCTTGCCTTATCGCTGGTTTCGGTACTCTCTCTCCATTTTTTTTTTGGTTCGCGATTGTTTCTTCCGCTTTTGGTTTGATTTTCTTGAAATTAGATGATTAAGGTTTGAATTTCAATGCGCGAGACACGAATCACAATTTTACATGAATTAGAATTTATTTTCTTGTCGATTTTGTATGCACGGTTGATAAAAACTTAAGTGGTTCACAAATTTTGGGGATTTCTTTTTCAGTTAGATTCTACAATTTGTCCGTCACGCTTTGTTTTAAATAGTTTCTTCTATTGATTGAGATAACCATTGGTATTTAATCCCCCAAAAGTTCACTGTTTTGCTTTCTCGTAAGTAATTTGGTAAGTACGAGATGAAATTGGTTTTGTTTGAAACTGGAAATGAATAGTGCCCGCATTTTATGTAAGATTCAACGTTCTATGTCTGAACCTTTTGGTTAAAGAGGCAAAATATTTCGATGAAAGAGGTGAGAATTGAAACTCTTAAAGGAATTGGAGCATTTGTCAAGATAGTGCATTCATTCTTTTATAAGAGGTATTTTGCTGTAGTCTCTTGCTTCATGATGGGGAACTTCATTGAAATCCTTAGTGCCGACTTGGTTCATAGGTTCGAGCATAAAATTTTGAACAGAAATTCAAGTTTTTTGTGGGAGAAAATACTATAACAAACGGACTATTGATTACAGTGACTAACTTTAGAACTGTGGTGAGGAATTTAATGTTTTTGAGTACTGTGTTTGTGCAGAGAATATAGTTTTGAGTAGATTATAACTCTTTTATTACTGATTTCGGGTAAAATTTCTTAGTTCCATAGTTATTTTGGTGGACTTGAATGTCTAGTTTCCTAACTGTATTGGTTTATTAAGGGGAAGAGAACACAATCTTTCATGTTTGTCAAAGAACCTGCTTTGAGGAGAATAGTCAGAGATGGTAGCACAGCTCTTTCAGATAATAGGCCATTAGGCTTTGACTCTCATAAAGAAGGGATCCGAGTAGACATTATCATTTGGATAATATTTACTCTTGCGAGATTCTTTCGTCGTGCTGAATTGTAATTTACCATTGATAGTGAGAGATTCTTGATCTATTTTAGCCTTGCATCTTTATAAATAGGAGACGAATCAAGTAAAGAAGATGGTAGGAACCTGATAGTAGTCTTTCAGTAGTATAAATAAGGGGTTAATAGCTCATTAAGGGCTTATGATTAGATTTGTGGGAAGTTTCTAGCTGTGCACTGTCTTGGAGGTGGGGGGTCCTCTAAACCACCCATTCTATCTTGTAATTTTCCATTTTCATGTCTTGTAATTAAGTTTGAAATTTTGGGTTCCTAACAGAAGATAATGTTCTTTTTGTTTTGTAGGAATTTTTATATTAATTATTACCCATTAATTGTATTTTGATTTAAAGGGTTCCTTTGACCGTACTTTTGAGAAATCTTCTATATGGGATTGGAATATCTTTAATAAACTGCTTATAATTTTTGTTGAAATTTCAGGTCTCTTCCTTCCAGCCGTGGTAAGACCTATCCTGGATTCTTATAAAGCGGCTAATGAAGTCCCACAGCCTGCTTTAAGTGATGTGAGTACAAATGGAGTCTTTTTTTTCTCCGTCTCTCTTTCTTTTTTTTTTTCTGCTCTTTAGTCGGCACTTTCTCATCTCTTTCATGTTAAGGTGCTTGCTTTTATCTCATCCTCGGTGATAATTAGCATCTTAGGATGCCATATAACACGAATGCTAAAGATAATAGGTGCTCAGAAAAAGATAACCCATGTAATTCAAATTTTAAAAAGGAATGGCCTTAATATAGTTATTGTATATTCTGTAAAAGGTCTTTATATGAATTTTCACTTGCATTCATCCTATCAATCTCATTTTTAACATTTTTCTAGACAAAATGAAAAAAAAAAACTGTTTTAGTAACATTTGAGTTGGCAACTTTGCAGGTGGTTGCAGGTATGACGGGAAAGAAATAGGGGCGATGCAAATCACTGAAATCAAGTAGAAAGTTTTCGAAGAATTTCCCCTCCCTCCAGTTTTCATTACTTTTTGATTCTCATTAATGAAATAATATGGACTTCGAAGAATGGGGATTTAAGTGAAAATGCTTATTGAATCTCTTTCTGTTTAAGTAAGCAATGTGAAATCGTAAATGGTGTTCGTCATGTTTTGACATGTATTATGCAGCTGGGTTCATTTGGAACACAACTGATGCATATTTGAGAATTTCATCCCATAAAGAGTTTTTTTTTTTTTTTTTTTTTTTTTTTTTTTTTTAACATGATCTCCTTTCAGTTTTATTTGGAATTAGTCACTTCTGCAGAAGTGCTTTTTTTTTTGTGGAAACATCTGCAGAAATTTTATCCAGCAGTGTTTGTAGCTCTTACCAAAAAGCGAATTTGGTTATCTTTCATTGGAGTTTGGTAATACAGCATTATAGCTTAATAACCAATTAAACCTATTCTAGGGGAGTGAGTTGGGGCTTGGGGGCAAAGTTTAGTTATAGAGAATCTCTACGGTGGAGCAAGTTATTTTACTAGGGACAGTTATTTTTTATAGTTTAATTAATTTTTTTTATTTTTTAATGGTACGATTTGTATAAATTTGTATTAAAAATTTATAACATATTATACAAAATTTTCTTAGTGCAAATTTAACCGTAAAAAATTAATAAAAATACAGTCATTACTGATAGAGTAAAATAACTTGCGCCGCACTCACGGCAAATTTCTTCTTAATCAACAAAATTGACAATTTTCTAGTGGAAGAGAAAAACAAAAAACAATTGACAAGATAGCGTACAATTTGGTATACGGTTTGGTAAATTGCATGACTAGTTGTGTCTGATATTTGTCGCGTTGGTGACCACCGTATGGGTTTGGTAAATTGCATGACTAGTCGCGTCTGATATTTGTCGCTAGGTGTCGACGAGACTTATGACTTATGAGTTGAATGTTCACATAAACTTTCTATTATTTCCTTCCCAACTTTTTATTTCAACAAGTTCATCTCGATTGTGAAATAAATCTTCTTCAGTTGTAGCAATATAGATCTATATCCTGCTATACTGCGAAATTGATTACAGAGTCAATTAATTTACATATTTAAAAGAAAGATTGCAGAGAATAAGCCACGTTTTAAGGTTGAAGGACACAACTGAAGAGGAAGACAACAAGTGACACACTAGAGACATCAAACGATAATATGTCATCTTCACATTGCAGGAAACATTATAGGACGACGTGTTTGAGTGTCTGATAATTTGATAAGGAGATTACTGTTAATGCTCAGAAAAGATTCGTTTTATCACATTCCTCTCTTCAATTTCTTGTTCTTCCATGGAACCGCCTGCTTCAAGCCCTCACAAATTGTTGCCTGCAAGTCCAGACAGAAACAGAAACAGATAAATTTCATTCCTCAAAAAATTGCAGTCAAATATTACCTTACATATTAATAAATGGAAACGCATCTTATTAGATCTTCAAAATCCTAGCAAACACAATATAGCCAGATTTTTTTGGTCTAAAATGTAAATGCGCCAAAAAAAACAAAAACAAAAAAAAAACTAAGAAGAAAGAATGCCCAGAATTGCAAGAACTGAAAACTTACCCAGAAGTGGGACCTAGGATGGATAGTGAGACTAGAAAAACTTGCACCCCTTCTAATCTTGGTCATCTTCTTCACGTCTCCACCGCTACTCTCATCACTCTCTCTATCAACAGAAGATGGAAAGACATAACTACCCCCAGAAGCCTCCTTATTCCCTTTCAAAAATACCCTTCTCCTCCAAGAACCAAACCAGGATTTTACCTTAAAGCCCCTCTTGCTGAGGACCATTGCAGCAAGCGACCCTCTCTCTCTTTCGGGACTGAACGAGCGGCCATAACACTCACTGCCCATTCTAAACGAAGAGGACTGAAATCTCTCACTGCCCATTCTAAACGAAGAGGACCGAAATCTCTGCCTGCCCACATAAGGGCCTTCCAAGACTGTTGTGGGGGAGGGCAGTTTGGTCTCCGACACCGACAGCAACATCCTCGGAGGAAGTTCCAAGCACTTTGGAGCCATGTCGTCATGAGTTGTCGAGAGTGTTGTGAGAGCCAAACAAGGCCTTGGCTTTCCAGGCTCTTCTTCCCAGCGGAATGGGACGGAAAGTGAGGTCTGTAATGGCGGCGTCAACATCCCGGGATGCTCTGGCGAAGCCATGTTAATTGAAGAAATGGAAAACAAGGGCAGTTTTAGTGTGGAGATTGACTCTGACTGTGCTGCTTCAGAATCCATGTTTTTTTTTTTTTTTTTGAGTCTATTTAGGGTGTTAATTTTATGAGGAGACTTGAGGAGAGAGTGAAAGTGTTGTGTGGCTTTTGTTTTCTAATGAAGCGTTGAAGAGACAATGGGAAGGAGAGGGAAAAGTGATGATCCCTTTCAGTCATGATCACCTCATCTGTGTCTTATTCACCGAGGAGCAAAAGCTACGAAAAGAGCATCTCTCTCTCTCTCTCTCTCTCTCTCTCTCTCTCTCTCCTGTTATTGTGGTTGAAACTTGGAAGAAAGATATAGGGATGGCTGGCCTGAAAGCTTTTATATTTGGATTGCACTTGTAATTTTTTGAGCATTCTATGTAGGGAATGAAAAATGAACTTGTATAAATAATGGGTTAAAAAAGAGAATTTTGTGATAAGGTATGAAAATACCTTGTGCTAAATTGTTATGTTTTTTTTTTTAGTGTAATTTTTATCACATTATTTCCACTAGTCTATTACTCCATTTTGACAAATTCACGTGTCTTAACACATTCGGCCTTTGACCAATAGTTTTCCCTTTTTTATTGTTTCCCCATCGTGTTTAATTTGCTAATTCAAGTTGAGATATGATTTTATATAAAAAATTTTTACTATAAAAAAAAAGTTAAATTTAACTGTTTAAATTTTTACTGTATCAAAACTCATATTTTTGCCCCCACTAAACCTCTGTGCCTAACTTGAAAACAAGACTCACGTAAGTGAGACAAACCATCAAATAATAACAAATTAAAATTGACAATTCAGTATCGGTTTTGTAGAATGAGGTCATTTATCAATCTTTTTTCTTTTTCCTCCAATCGGATGAGCATGTATGAAGATTTGACGATTGATTAAACGCATTCTAATACACTTCTAAAACTAAGTTATTGTTAGAACGATCCTAACAACAGCTCAAAGATTCACACACAAGAATGCTTTTAAAGAAAGAACACAGAAAGATTTTTACTGAGGTTCAGATTCAACGAATCCTACATCCCCGTTGGGCTCACTTGCGAGAAACCCTTCCACTAACAGAGAATCAATTACACCCTCAAGCCTCACCTCTCTCAGAGATTACAAGGAAGAAACAAACCCAGATCTAGAAACTGTACAGCAGAGATCTCACAACAACCGTGGATCTAAGTGGATATACTCAGGTAGTAAATCACCCTCTTACCCCGATCTTTCCCAGTACACAATCATACCCAAATCTCTCAATGTTCACAGCTTCTCTCTCTTGTTTCTCTCTCTAGAACGTTTACTCTGAAAACCCTAGAGGAAAAGCTTCTGATCTCTTATCTCACCAAACTGAAGGACAGCTATACATATTCTGGAATCCTCCACCGACAATAGTGCCTGCCACGTGTCACGTATTGAGAAGTCCAACTGAATGCTACACTGTGTTTTATTAAGTTCCTGAATGACCAAAACGCATGTTGTATTTCTCAAGAATTACTCTTCACAACATTCCACCTTAATTTCTAGAAAAACGACAGTATCCTTCAAGCCCTGTATTTCTTGCAAAGATCATTGCCCTGACTTGATATAATCAAGTCTTGCCAATGCCCAGCAAGTCCAAACACTTCTGGAACTTGCTTGCAGTGACAACCTTTGTAGCCATGTTTGATGGATTTTCTTCTGTGTTGATCTTCCCAAATTCTATTGACCCTACTTCCACCTTTTCCCTTATGAAGTGGTGCCGTACATCAATGTGCTTTGTCTTTTCATGATATACTAGATTTTTACAGAGGTGTATTGCAGATTGGCTGTCTGAATGAATCACAGCAGCTCCTCTCAATATTTTCAGCTCCGTTAACAGGCCCTGAAGCCATATAGTTTCTTTACATCCCTCTGTTCCAGCTATATATTCTGCCTCGGTGCTGGATAAGGCAACTACAAATTGTAGCTGAGACTTCCAGCTGATGCAATTCCCACCTAGTGTTATTGCATAGGCTGACGTAGACCTTCTTATGTCTAAATCCCCTGCAAAATCAGAATCTACAAAGTCTTCCAAGTTCAAAGGGTTAGAGCTTTGTTTATAAATCAAACCATAATTTAAAGTACTGTTAACATACTTCAAAACCCATTTTAGTGCTGTCCAATGTTCTTGTCCAGGATTTGACATGTATTTGCACAAAATACTTACTGCATAAGCCAAATCAGGTCTCGTGCAAATCATGGCATACATTAATGATCCTACAGCACTAGAATAAGGAATTTTGGCCATTTTAAGCTTTTCTTGTTCTGTTTTAGGAGACTGTTTTGCAGAAAGTTTAAAATGGCCAGCCAATGGTACTTTAACAGGTTTAGATTGATGCATAGAGAAATTTTGGACAACTTTTCTTAAATACTCTTCTTGAGACATATACAGAAGTTTCTGTTTTCGGTCTCTTTTAATATCAATTCCCAAAATTCTCTTTGCATAACATAAATCCTTCATATCAAATTCAGCATTTAACATTTTCTTGGCCTCATCAATTTGTGATGAATTCTTATTGGCAATCAGCATATCATCCACATAAAGTAGAAGATATACTGCATTGTCAGCATGTGTCTCCTTAAAATATAAGCAGGAGTCATATTGACTCCTCATAAAACCTGCTCTGATCATATGTTGATCAAATTGCTTGTACCATTGTCTAGGGGATTGTTTCAACCCATACAACGATTTTCTCAACAAATAGGCTTTATGTTCACTACCTTTTACCTCAAAGTCTGGTGGTTGATTCATGTAGATTGTCTCCATGAGATCACCATAGAGGAATACGGTTTTCACATCCATCTGCTCTAGATGCATGTCTCTGTAAGCAACCACTGAGAGGATTGTCCTGATAGTCTTATATTTTACAATCGGGGAGAAGACTTCAGTGTAGTCAATCCCCTTAACTTGAGTGAAGCCTTTTGCAACCAGCCTTGCCTTGTACCTCATGGGTTCTTGAGATGTGGATCCCTCCTTAATTTTAAAGATCCATTTGCAATCCACTGTCTTTTGTTTCTTTGGCTTGTCCACCAGAACCCATGTATTATTCTCCATCAAAGAGTGCATCTCCTCCTTCATGGCTGCCAACCATTTGTTGGCCTGTTTGCTATTGACTGCTTCCTCATATGATTTGGGTTCTGTTGCTCCAATGTCCCCTGCCATATTTAGTGCATAAGCAATTAAATTTCCACCATCATACCTTTTTGGTGGTCTAATTGTTCTCCTCTGCTTGTCTCGAGTCAGCATGTATTCTGACATGTTCTCTGGCGGTTCCTGAGCGTGTTGAGTGGTAGTTTCCTCCGTGGCGGCTTATGGCTCTCCAGTGGAGTGGTGGTTCCCTTCAGGTTCAACTTCATCAACTTGTTGTCTGGAGTCTCTTTGTTGTTCCACCTCAAATTGGAGGTCTGGGCTTGAAGTTGTACCTGCATTAAATGGAGGAGAGCCAGCAGTATCCTTTTCCTTTTTCAAGTAAGGCATGTCATGTTCATTAAAGATCACATCTCGGCTATTAATTATTTTAAAGTGGGGGCCTTCTTGAACACATAGTCTATAACCCTTGACTCATTCAGGGTTGCCTAAAAATATGCATTTTATTGATCTGGGATCTAGTTTCCCTTCTCTTTGGTGTGCATAGGCTGCACAACCAAAGACCCTAAGGTTGCTTAGGTTTGGTGGTTTTCCAGACCAACACTCTTCAGGTGTTTTAAGTTCAATAGGCTTACAGGGGCTCCTATTGATTAGATAGCAAGTTGTGGTTACAGCTTCCCCCCAGAATTTCTTTCCTAAACCTGATCCAAAGAGCATACACCTAACAAGTTCCATTAGGGTTCTATTCTTTCGGCTACCCCGTTTTGTTATGGAGTCTTTGTAACCGTTCTATGTCTCAGGATTCCATTGTCTTTACAGAACTCGGTAAAGGTTTCATGATAAAATTCCATGCCATTATTTGTCCTAAGGGCTTTTAGTTTCTTGCCAGTTTGGTTTTCTACCAAAGTTTTCCAATATTTGAATTTTGTAAAACATTCATCTCTGGTTTTTAATAGAAAAACCCACACTTTCCTAGAATAATCATCAACGATGGAAAGAAAGTACCGGACATTGCCGTGTGTTGGTGTTGATTCTAGCCCCCATAGGTCAACATGAACATAGTCCAATGAAGACTTTGCTCTGAATGTTGAAGTAGCAAATTTAAGTCGGTGCTACTTTCCCAAGACACACAGCTCGCAGAAGTCAAGCTGTTCTATTTTGCATTTACCCAATAGTCCTTGTTCACCGAGTTCTTTTAGCCCCTTTTCACTAACGTGCCCAAGGCGTTTATGCCAAAGGTCAGCCTCAGAGTTCTCTTTAATTACAGCACTTGTTGAACCTGTCATTGTATGCCCTTCAAACACATACAGCCCCTGATGTTTCCTTCCTTTGAGTACAACTAAGGACCCTCTTAGGATCTTTAGGATTCCACCTTCTGCTTTGTAAACATATCCAGAGTCATTAAACGCCCCAAGAGAAATTAGGTTCCTTCTAAGCTCTGGAATATGTCTAACATCTTTAAGCACATGTTGTGTTCCATTTGACAGTTTCACCACCACCGAACCAACCCCAACCACTGAACAGGAGTGGTTGTTTCCCATCAGGACTCTGCCACCATTACAGCCTTCATACTCAATGAACCACTCTTTCTTGGGACACATATGGTATGTACACCCTGAGTCCAATATCCATTCGTTCTCATTTTGGTTAAGCCCAACTGCCAACATTTCTGAGCTTTCATACCTAGATTCTTGGCTAACCACCGCAGCATCACCTTCACCTGTTTTCTTTTCAGCCATTTTTCTTTTCCATTCTTTACAGAACCTTTTGATGTGTCCTGCCTTATTACAATGAAAACATTTTCTTTGCCCATTTTTGGATTTTGATCTAGAGTTTTGTCTATATCCAGGCTTGGTCTGATCTCTCCTTTGCGGTCTACCTCTGGAGAAGAGCCATTTATCTTCACGGTTGTCTTTCTTAGAGGACATTTCAAACTTAAGTTCTAATTCTCTAGACCTTAAGGCTGACAGGACATCCTCTAATGTGAGACTCTCCCTTCCTTAATTAATAGCATTTTTAACATCTTTAAACGTTTCTGGAATGGAGATTAATAGTAAAATTATCTGGTTTTCTTCCTCTATCTTTTCTCTAATATTGGCCAAATCGATAACTATTCTGTTAAAATCATCTAAGTTCTTCTCAAGAGACTTTGAAGTATCCATCCTAAAACTAAATAGACTCTCTTTA